AGAGACAGAGACAGAGACAGAGAGTGTGAAGGTGAATGTTTCTAGACCAGCCACTCAGAGTCACAAGGCTTTGAAGTCCGCGTCCCCTCCAAGTGGGCATAACAATACAGTGCACACAATACAAATGCTTATACAAAAAACATGCGCTATGCTCTTGAAAGTGTTTCACAAATAGTTATTTAACATTAACAGTGAATGTCCCCTTTTGTACATGGATGACTGATGTCCATGGATCCACACATGCCACACTACACATGTGGAGGTCAGAGGGCACCCCAGGTGTCTGTGCTCATCTTCTTCCTTATTTTGAGGCAGAGTCTCTGGGTTGTTCAGATATGTAACCAGATTATCGGGTCTGCAAGCTCACATGCTGTGTCTCCGCTGTCATCTCAGCAAAGGAGCTCGGGGATTGCTTACATATGACCATACCGAGATTTCTATGGTTCCAAGGATTTGAATTCGGGTCCTCACATTAGTACTCCAAGCACTATACTCATTGAGCCTTCTCCCTAGCCCAATACCTAATAATTCCCATAAGTCATGATCCACCATGTATAAAACATATTTCCTTAATAATTTTCTTAGTTTGTACTCGGCACATTGCTTAATGCTTCAAAAGATAATATTTCATATCTATGCATTTTCAAAATGCTTATAAACCCACCAATTAAATTTTATCCTAAACTATAAATGGCATGAGGAATTTCTGGCAGAATGAGGATTGCGTCAGTTTTTAAGACAAACTACTTCAGAGAGGTAACTGAGCTGATAGTGACGCTAAGCAGAGGGCTTCTAGCTCACTGATGTAGTAACCTGTATAAAACTATGTTTCTTCTTTGTGCCATTTAAACTTCAATTTCCAAGGATAACTGGTTTTATCTGAAAGACCTGGATAAGTCCAGACCTCCCCAGCAGGAAGAAAATAGCCAAAAATCCAAGCAGGAGGAGAAGAATCAAAAATCTAGTATTAGCCAGTTAGTGACTGTGTTTCAGGAACTAGCTGAAGATAAAGTTAGGTTGTAATCTTGAGAATAATCTTGAGAAACAAGGAGTCTCCCCCTTGTGATTGTCATTGTAATGTGTTTTAAGAACTAGCTGATAATGACCTTGGGAGTGGTCCTGAGAGGCAGGGGGTTGCCCCCTTGTAATCTTCACTGGTATTTTCGGAATTTTCTGTGACACACTCCCTGCCAATTACGGATCACTGGGCTGTGGTTTCTTCCCTAAAAATCGCTTCTCCGGGTCACTTGGGGTCGAACTCTCCCCCTGCGTGGGTTATGAGTCTCACCAGTGCACTGGTTCCCTTCTCATCTCATCAATTAAAACCTCCTGTGATTGCAGCAAGGATGGTCTCTCATGAGTTACTGGGGGGTCCTGTTATCCCGAGACTTGAGTGAGAGTCTCCCCGTATCGGGGGTCTTTCAATCTTCTCACAAACTAATATGTATCTTAGCTGCTTTCCCTACATTTGCTATGGCTAGAGGTAGCTCTTAGGGACTCACTATTTGACACAGGCAGACAGACCTAATATGCTTAAAGAATCCTTCCTAAAAAAGCTGAATTTTAGTTAAAGTTAATTGCTTTGCTAACCATTATTGAGCTATAGTTCATCTCTGTCCAACAAACATCCATGCATCCTCCGCAAAGTATTTAGTTTTTCTTTAAAAATTTCATACATAGATGCAATCATCTCAATTCCACCTTCCTCCATTTACTTCTTCTGGTACCCACTAACCTCACTCCTCTCCCAACTTCATGTCCTCATCTCTCTACAAATAATTTAGTTCAGCCAATGAAAACTGAGCTTTCCTGACGCTTTTATCACTTGCATTTTTTGTTTTCTATTATTTATTTTAAAAAAATAAAACAATCTTTTTTCATTTTGCATACCAATCCCAGTTCCCACATCCTCCCCTCCTCCCCTTCCTTGCACCTAACCTCCTCCCACTCCATCCCCCAACCACTTTTCAGAGCTGGTTAGTTAGGCACATTGCTTTGGGGAAGGTCCAAGGCCCTCCTGGCTCTATTTAGGCTGAGCAAGGTATCCATCTGAAGAGAACAGGTTCCAAACAAAAACAGTATAAGCAGTAGGGATAAAGCCCTGCAGTCTGCCCCAGCCATACAACTGTCACCCACATTCAGAGGGACTAGTTTGTACCTATGGTGTTTCCTTCCCTGTTCAGCTAGTGTTGGTGAGCTTCCATTAGCTCAGGTAGGCTGTTTCAGTGGGTGTTTTCATTGCAGTCTTGACCTCTTTGCTCATATTCTCTTTCCTTCCACTCTTCAATTAGACTTTGGAAGTTCAGTCCAGTGCTCCCATACAGGTCTTTCACTTCTGAATGGTTAGAGTTACTCCCAAAGTATTTTATGTTCTTTGTGACTATTGTGAGGGTGATGTTTCTCTGATTTCTTTCTCAGCTTCTTTATCATTTATATATACTGAATCACTGACTCTTGGTTTGATAGTGCTAATGTCATTGTACATATGAATGTATTTATATATAGTCCTATGAGATTACCACATTTTTTCCAATGTTTTTTTTTTACCATTTATTTGTCTCTTGAGTGTATGACATTTGATATATGGTATTAAATGCATTTATATGTTAAAAGCTAAAAAATCCGTCCTAAAGAAAATACAAATATTTCCTTCACTAATTCTTGACATTTCGTCTTTTACTGTTTTGATGGGAGTGGTGAGGCACCAGGATCATCTCAGACTTAAAAACAAAGGCTACTCCCAAGTGAGTGATGGCAGATGGGTGGAAGAAGCAGAGTCCCAGAGAGTTCTGGGAGTGTGGCAGGGGTCCAATGCTCAATTACTAATCCTTGCTTTCAGGAAAAGAAAGGTCCTCACTGCTTAAATCTATGCAATGCAAAACCTTCCCTAATCCTGACAGAGATTGCTAAGGAAGGCAGAATTTGTGTGCAAAGTACATCTTAAATGCAAGGTACTTATGTATTGTAAATAAAAGTATCTACTAGTAAGTATCAAATAAGATCATGGTTCTTGTGAGAAAGAATGAAGGAAAAAGAACCTGAGAATAATGGCCCCTAAGGAAGAGGCTTCTCTGTCAAAGGTTAGAGCACGGCTAATGCAAGTGGATTGGAAAGGGAAAGCTGTTCAATGGCTTCCCCTCCTAGAGGGGCTTAAGGAAAGAACTAATAACCCCCGGTGAGGGACTAGCACACACCGGAAAAAGTCCTCTACAAACCACAAGGGGATAAGGGCTTTGGGCGGGGGGGGGGGGGGGGGGGGGGGGGGGGGGGGATGCTTCTGCAGACTTAGCTTTTGCTGCCAAGATTCAGTAAACAACTTTAAATAAGACTGTTGAGTGTGAAGAACTAAAGAAATCTCCTCATCCGGACTTGGAGTTGGGGCTTAGCCGGTAAGAACTGCTTTAGAAGTACTCAGACACCCAGTACCTGCATCTGGCAATCAGAAACCACCTTAAGTCCAGCTCAAAGGATTCCATGGCTTTTCCTACCACCTGGGCACCTGAACACATGTACATATGCACACACACACACACACAAACACATGTATACATATGCACACACATACACACGCATGCTCGCGCACACACACACAATTAACAATGATATAAATGTTTAAAAAGACAATTTTCTTAGGAAAAGTCTTCATCTTGGCCCCCTAAAATCTCAGAGTGTGGCAAAAGCTTTACTTCTGTCTCATCCAGAGTTCATGCTCGCTCACAGAAGCCCTTCACACTGGGTAAGAATTATTACTAGATGTAATCTTCATCCTTAAGGCCCTTAGTAATGAGGCTGTTGTAATCGACCCCATTCTTCAGCATCTACTCATGCCATTTCCTTGCTAAAAACCTCTAGTGTCTCCTCTGTCCCCATTTCTTACAACCTGACACCATCTTATATTTACAGGTGTAAAACTGCCTGTCACCCACGCCGTCCACCACAATAATCAAAATATAGCTTTTATCCATTTCCTAACTTCCTCTTGGCTTTAAGCTAGAATAGATTTTGTCCTTTTTTATCTTCTATCTCTTCCTGGAAAGACTGTTTTTCCACTTGTAGATGTAGATTATTATTGATAAAGGTGTGTGTGTGTCTTTGTGTCTGTGTGGATGTACAATGTGTGTCTACAAAGGCCTACAGATGCCCTAACGAGGGTGTCAGATCACCTGGAACTAAAGTTACAAACGGCGATGAACTGGCCAGACTTGGGTGCTAGGAACTGAACTCGGGTCCTTTGGCAGAGTAGAAAGCACCCTTAACCACCGATCCATCTCTCCAGCCCCATCTTTCCATCCTTCAAGCTCTAATATTTTTAACTCCACCCAAGCCCCGCAGAAGCCCGTCAGAGATAGGTCCCTTTTCTCCATGATGCACGTTGTAAATGAGCCTGAGAATAATTGTTTACCTGTCTACCTCCATTCCTGAGTGCAAATCTCTTGAGGGCATTTCTGCCGTGTCTTGTCTGGTAATATGGTCACAGTCTGTGTTCTTTGTATGTGATGACACACAGGTCTACAGAACTTTGTCAGTATCTACAAACTATGCTTGCTTTAGAGCTCTCTGATACTTTTGTAAAGATCTACGGTGCACTTACACTATGTCAAACGCCCTACGAGTGAGCAGGGAGCCCGACAGATCAATCCCCGGTGAACAGACACCCCTCTGGGAGTGCTTCCCAGGCTTCCTTCCCCTTGAAGGCACTGGAAAATTTTATTGCTGTTCGTCTGGCCTAACATAGAACCTTGGTCTAAGAAGCTGTTATTCAATGTTTGCCGAATAAATAAAAGCATCAGCATTCTCTAGCTTGCTTATTCATATCCTTTCTAGGTCATATTTCCATAATTGACTATGCAAGAGAAAGGGAAGTTAATATTTACCGCACATGAAACACATTTGAATATGGAATCTAGCAGAAAAGAGGAACCCCAGACAGTTCGTGAGCTGCGGAACGAAGAGGGCAGGGGCTTCCGCGAGAGAACATGTATGTGTGCTGTGTGGCAGGAGATCTCGGTGCTTACAGAGTAATGAAAGGCTGGAAGGAATGGAAAGGAAGGGGGCAGTGTGCAGGTACAGTTTGTTGTAATCAAAGTATTATAGCTTGTTGAGATTGCTTTTAATGTCAACTTGCCACAAATAAAATCACTGAAGTAGGGAGCCTCCCAGTTGCCTCTGCCACGGGCTGCGCTTCTTGATAAAACGGTATGGCAGAGGGAAGATTATTCGACCTTTGTTTGCTCCACCTTTCTCCTTGCCTCCAGGTTGCTGCTGCTGATTCCTTCCCTATATCAGAACCATTTTATTTCCAAGCTTTCATCGTACACTATAGGCCAGCAGTTCTCCAGGAATCTTCTGGGATTCTCGCACAGGCTTGGAGTTACTGAGACACCCAGCCTTGCGGATAGAACAGCTCTGGGCTGTTACTCCCCAGGCAGAGCTATCAAGAAACTGCACTGACTGTTGAGACCCTCGGCATCAAGGAACACATAACTACAGAGTCAAAGTACTCAGGTCTGATTCTATTGTGGTTGTTACTTTAAAGATTACTTAGTTTAATACACACACACACTCACTCACACACACGCACGCACACATATCCTTTGAGTTTTGTTCCTCCTGAGTACCTGACTAACACACACATCTATAAAAATGATACCGGAATAGGAAAATGGTGTTTTTTTAAAACGCTATGCAATTTTCAGTTTAATTTCCAGCTGTGTATTATAGCCCTCAAGTGACAAGAAGATAACAATAAATCCAAATCATATAAATAAAATATACGAGATTCAACCAATGAAGTCACAAACAAGAAAAAGGGTAGAGAAGAGAGAAAGTCCAAAGGAAATCTCCTCTGAAAGGTACAAAAATCGGTGTACTCAGAGATAACATTTTAAATTTCATTTTGTGCATGCATGCATCTGTGTGGAAGTGTATGTTCCGGCTTACGTAGGACGTTAGAAGGCAATTTACAGAAGTTGGTTCTCCCCTCCCGGCCTGTGAGTCTGGTCCGGGGAATTGAGTTTGCTTATCAAGCTCCGTAGCAGTATTTTTACCCACTGAGCAATCCCCTTGGCCCCATGAATGAATTCCAAGGACAATGTCCTTGTGCTTGTTATAGCGAACTGGTATAAAAAAGTGGGCTGCATTTCAAACTCCTGGTTGACTTTTTTTGGGTGGGCAGTGAGAAAAAGAGAAAAACCTTATGACTCATTAGAGCCTTAATGGAAGACACAGAGAGAATGAAGATACTGAAAATTAATTTTTCTCAATGTTTTGAAGCTGTTTTCAACAGAGATATTTTGTTAAAGTATGAATAGCCTCTTAACGATATCAAAGCCTTAACCTGAAAGCGAACAAGCAGATACACTCGTTTTCTCCCTCAATCCTAAAGACTATTGACGTATTTATAATTGTAGCATTTACAATAATGTTTGTAAGCCACTCAACTCATCTTTCCTTAGTCAAGAAATTAATCTTTGTCTTTAGTAGTTCGTTTATTTATGACTCACTAATGTCAATTCTGCAACCTTTTTCTGTTGTCGATAATAAAATGCCATTGTTAAATGTTCGGCAAAAAAAAAAGCACTGAAGTCTTCTATCCTTCAATGCAAAGGTGATTACATAAATTATGGGAGGATGAGACTTGCTTATTCAAGCTGATGATTGACCCCTTATCCCAGTCTATAGTACTCTACACACAGTATCTATCTCGCAGATATTTCAAGTTTGTGTATTTGCATGGGTATCTCTTTAAGCGTGGTATTTTCAAGAGTATCAAATTGATAGATCATTTATTTGCCAATGACCTTTCAGAATACTTGCATCCTGTTGAGCTCTTCTAGCTATGGTTAATGTACATTTGCATGGCTGAGGCTGTACTGTATGCATAAGTGGTGAGCTTCACTTCTGAAATCAAGCTGCTTCAGCAATTTTCTTTGAAAGGCTATCAGATGTTGAGATTTTTACTTTCCGTTTTGTGATATCCAGAGTGCCTGCCTTGCACACTCACAACACAAATAACTGTATTTCATGTTTTAAAATAGCATTTCTTACAGAAATTAAGAAAAATTCATTCCTTTAGTTTCCAAACCAGGAGCACAAAGTCAGCATGAGGTGCAAGTCCATAGACCCTGGTTGTGACATTACCCACTTTGAGACCTTGGTGACTAGGATTCTTTTCTGCTTGGACTGTATAGGTCACCGGGCTTTTATGAAGATAAATTAAAGTAATACAACAGAAACAAACTGGACCTCAGGCTATCAAGGTAAAACGAAAAGCATCCTTAATTGGTTTATTGTTTTCCATCTCTAAATCTGGAGTTTTGGAGGTGGGAGGGCTGGATGACAGCTGCCCCATGTTTTACCTCAACTTTCTTAAAATATCTTGAGGTAGGGAGAAGCTCTGCATTTTGTCTTCCACAATGCATATCCGGGACTCACAAACAATACATACTTTAAATAAGATCATACACAAGCGAGCATCAGCATACTTCCCGGTGTGCCGGCTCAATGCCTTCTGTCTGGTGCCCTGTTTTATAAACAACTGGCCAAATCATCTCACTGGCTGATTTAGTCTCCCCGCTGAATTTGTTGACTTATGGAACTGATTAGTGGTCTGGGACTTAGAGACTGAGATTTTTCTTCTAAGCTCTGCCTGACAGCACAGATTGCGGATTTCCAGCCTGGTGAAGATGTGCTGCCTGGTGATCTCTTGCTTTGACGAAAGCTAGCAAATATGTACACCTGAGCTCAAAGACAGGGCCTGCCTTTGGTTTTTAATGATGAGATTACCATATCACCCTCTCTATGATACCTCAGAGATGCTGAAAATGCCCTGCATAATTAACAAGTCAATTCAATAGGAGTCTTTTTTTTTTCCCCTTTAGGATGAAAAATGAAGCAAATCACTATCGATAATGGAAGCAAATGCCTTTCATCACTCATCCCCGCAGCCAATTCGTCTTGCACAGAAGATGTGTCTCCGAGCCCGTTTGGGGAATTCAATGAACGGTACAGGTGTCAGTCCCCAAGATCAATGGGCAAAGCAAAACATTCAAGAAATCTTTGCTTGCTGTAGAACTTTTACAATTATGTCTCCTACAGATCTTCCACTCGGTGCTGCAGCTGATACTGATATTATTTCCTCTTAGTCTTAGTCACTACTGCAGGGTGCATAATCCAGACGCAGAGCAAGGTACCTCTAACACAGCGGTGGAGGGAGATACTTGTGACCTTTGTCATTGTAGCAGTTAGTTTAAAATATTAAAAAATACGTTGTATGTTCTGTGTGGTCATATTTACAGACTAGAAAATCAAAAGGCAAAACTAAGGTTTTCCCAGGATCATAAAGTCAGCTAACAACCTGAGATGAAACCTAAGTCCTGGTGGCTACAAGATGATAACTATTGTTTGTGAAGAGGAGCTGAGTGAAGAAATTAGAATCCAAGAATTTTCTAGGCACCGGAAATATTCCAGTGAATAAAATATAAGCGTTCAGTTCTTAGCTCAAATCACACAGAGGAAGTACAAGACTCCTTGAGTCAACTATTTTAGACATTCTGGACCTGGACTGTGAGCCTCATTAGCGTAAGCCACCATGCAACAGTGCATGCCTACCTCACTCTAAACTGTTAGGAGTGTCCACAGAAGTAAATACAGTGTGGCAAGACTTTTTTAGAAATGGGATGATCAAAAGGGACTTAAAAAGAAAGTGCTGATTCCTTCCTTATTAATTCTCCACACAAAAGCTCTGCTTTGACTCATCCCTGCTCTAAAGGATAGCTAGAATGCTTCCAGAGCATTGCATCCTGCGCCCACTGACCTGTGACTACTGAGTCGCTTTCACGAACTCTTTCCTGCCACGGCAACTTTGCACCCCTCTAATGCAATCCGAGCCACTCTGAAACACGGCCCAGCAACGCCTCCACACAATCTCTTTCCAAGCTAGTCAACTCATTTTTCTCCAACCTGACAGGAGCTTTCTCCACCAAGTGATTGCCTGCTTCCTTATCTGAAACTCGATTTTTCTAATCTTAGCTTATGTGTCCTGCTCCTATTCCTCAAGATTCAATTTACAACTAACCTCTGCTGAGTACATGGCTTTGGGGGATCTCTGATCTTTGAAATCTCAAGACTCATCTGATCACTCCACAATACCAGAGGTATCTGACATCAAATTTTGTTTTTATGTGAAGGTCCAACCACCTCTAATGTTTGGAGAACAGGAAGGAGCCGTTTAAAATTCCTTTGTGTAGCTCCATAACTAGAAGGCTTTTAACCTTCAGTATGTTGATCTGAATAAAAGTGCGGTATCTGTAAGACAGCCATGGTTAACAGTCACTCACCGTGTGGCAGATGCCTGAAACCGCACCAGAGGAAGCTATCTAAAGTCAGGCAAATAGAATGTTGTAGAAATTCAGTGGAGCCAGCTGGGCAGACTACAGATTTATTATTCCCAGCTCTTTAACCTACTTTTAAAACAAAATATTGGAAAAATATTCCAGGAGCTAATGCAACGATAACCCTGAACTTGAAGCTAATTAAAAATCTTAGCTGAAGTTGCACAATAAGTTAATGCAGATTTGGAACACAAACTTCAAAAGTGAAATTCCCAAGATGAGTTTACCTCATTGGTTCACAAACTGCTATGCAACACAGAATTCTAGGGAGGTTTTGTTAAAAACAAAGTTCTGATGTCTAGGTCACAGCCATATCAATTAAAAAATCTATGATGGAAAAAATCAATATTCTTTAACTCTACAGATGATTTGATGGTGCTGAAATGCTGAAAAGCAATCTTGAAGACAAGAGATTAAGGTTTGAGCTAGCTCCCTGGAAGTGCTGATGCTTCCCAAACCTTCCCAGCCACCAGGCCAACACCCTGACGTGCTCACTGGACACCAACTGCATCCATTGAAGCTTTGTGGGAAGGCAAAATGTGGGGCCCCATCCAAGATTCCTGGAATCAAAATGGACATTTTAGTCAGATCTCTTTGTAGTCATAACTACTCACTGAAGGTTGGGTCAGTGCTCTACCACAGCAATGCCTCTCAGAGTGTGAACTTGGGATAGAAGTGACAGTACCAAGGACGGCCCAATCTTCTGATAGGAATCAGAGTGTGAACGCAGTATAGATGTGACCACTGCCACCACCATCACGCAAAACCGGACCCAACCTTCTGATCAGAAACTCTAGAACTGACTGAGAAATAGCATTTTCCAAACACTGGTAAGCCTTAATGTACGAACATGAAGAAGAATAACTGCACTTTATTTGAGGTGGTTCTCAAACTCACTAGGTTGCAAGATGATCATGGATTTCTGATCCTCTCTCCACTCATAAAGGGCTGAGATTAGTGGTATATGCCACCAAACCCTCTTTTATGGGATGCTGGGGACTGTGTCCATGGCTTCCCGCATGGATATATAAATACTCTACTAACTCTGCTTCATGCCCAAATCCATATTAGGTTATTTCTAAAGAACACTGATTCCAAAGTTCTAACTTAGAGGTTTTGATCTTATTATTCTAGGTGATTCTGTGATAGCATTGTTCAAGAGCATTAGATCACAGGACAGGACAGGAGCAAGGTTCTTTTGCACAGGAAATGTTGGTATTTCCCCGTCCAAATTATCAGTCATCAAGGACGAAGAAGTAGTCATTACAACCTCCCCAAAGTAGAGCCAGTAGATTCCAGTAAAGTTCCAAATTCTGTTCTTTCTCCCTTTCCTCCGAACTAAGCCATCGCTCCTGGAGCTTCCTGGATATAGTCTTCATGAATTGTTATTCATTGTAGAATGGACTCCTTGATGATGCAGCTGTCTTCAAGTCATTCCTGCCCCCCTTCACCAGTAAAACTTTGGCCCATGTGTCTGTAAGCAGTACCCGACATACACTCCTGCAAGTAGCCACAATAAATTCATTAGTTCAACAAGCTAGAGTTGGGTGGAATACTTCGGTTTCCTGTTGGCATCCTATCAATTGAGAACAGGCATTTTTTAACATTTCACCCAAAAAAAGCCAGGCAATGCCTAATTAAATTAAACTTCAATTGATTTTCGCAAAGATGAGAAGGCTAAGTCTAAGGCCCGAGTGGGTGATGGATGCTTTGCACACGACTCAAGGCTGTGCTCAAGTTCTCCACTTCCCCGAAATTACTCTTGACTACACTTCAGCAAGCATGGGTTTCTCTACAAAGGAGAAACCTAGGCCGCTTCCTTCCATGAGTGAAAAATAGCATAAATTTGACATTAATATCAATCTACCACACACACACACACACACACACACACACACACACACAAGCAGAAACTGAGGCTTCAATGTGCTAATCTTTCCAAGTTCACACAACTGGTAAATGGAGAGATTCCTATGGTACCCGCGACTATCCAGGTATCCACACAGTTCCTGTGTGTTTCCTCCAGTCTGGAGTAGGGAAAATGAGCCCAAGTGCATACTGAAGAAACAACAAAAGTGATGGCTTCTATGGTTCCTAAAAGAAGAGGCAGTAGATAAAACTTCTGCAGAATGGTTTAAAAGATTCCACCAAGATACTAAGGAATAGGTTTAGTGAGGCTGTGCAGATGTAAGGTGACATGGATGGGGGCCCCACATTCTATCTCACTGTCGGAGCAAGCAGTTTATGAAGAGCAGCCACACTAGCTCTTGGCTGAATGCCTCCTTGGTACCACTGTCTATGGGATGCTAGAAAATATGTGAAAATGTATACACTCACAAACAAACACGTCCCACCCACGTCAAACTTCCCTAGCCAGAATATAGGAAATAGGAAAACAAATCCAATCTCTTTAAGGTTACCATATAATGGTTTACTACTCTCTCTTAAGCAACACTTTAATCACCAAACATATTGAGGAAAAAAAATACTCAAGTTCAATGTTTATCCATCTAAAAAAATAGCATCCTAATATTGATCTGTCAGTTACACTCCCTTCTTAATGTTTGGTAGGTGTTGTCAGAGGGATGCATGCACACAATATAAAGAAATGTTTGCTAGGAATGGAGGGATAATCATCAGGAAAGAGACCCTGGGGCCACAGTGGAGCCTGGGTCCAGGACTCTGGAGTTAAAACACAACCTGCTATGTAATATCAGTACAGCCATGGGGTAATTATTTCATTTTCCTGTTCCTCGGTTTACTCAAAAGGAAGAGTTGCAGTTCCTGTTCTTACATATGTCTAAGACAAAAGCAAAATTTCTAAATATTTCATACAAGTAGTAAACAATTAGAAAACTCTCAGTAAACATTAATGGTAGATACATCCCAAACCTACAGGTTTAAAAAAGTTCCTGGGGTATAGGAGCCGGATTACTGGGTAAAGGAACTTGCTGCCAAGAGGGAGGACCTGACATCAGTCTCTGGAACCCACATGGTAGAAGGAGAAAATCAACACCCCAAAAAAGGTTTCATGGCATGTGCATTTCATACCCAAACACACATAAAATAAATAAATGTAAAAATATTAATGAAATCATGTCGGCATGTCCTGATTCCCCTTATTAAAGATATATAATCCCTCCCTTAAATTTCAAGGCAATATGCCCTGGAAACACCAGTCCACATGTGTATGCATACAGAATTTGTCCCTATTCCTTTATTTAATTTTGACTATGAATAAATAATTAAACTAGCCACTCACCATAAACTTAACTACCATGAGTTAAGCACACAGCCAAGGTATACTTATTGCCAAGGTATAATTACACAGAGAGGACCCAGCCTGCACTCCAGAGGTAGTCAGCAGGCTGCACACACAGTAAATGCACCAGCTGCAACTGTATAAATAAGAGATGCAGTTTGTTCAGAAGGGAAAGAAGACTTTACAGTTAAAGAAACAAAAAAAAAAAGGAATTGGCAAAACAAAAGACCAACAGCCATGCTT